TGCTGGGGCTGATCCTGAACCTGCCGTCGCCCGTGTCGCTGGGGCTGCTGTCCCTCCCACTGCGCCGGCGGCACTGGGTGGCCCTGCGCCAGGTGGACGGCATCTACTACAACCTGGACTCCAAGCTGCGGGCACCCGAGGCCCTGGGGGACGAGGACGGTGTCAGGTGAGCGAGCAGGGCAGGCCTGCGGCCGGGGCCCCCGGGAGGGGCCCGGTCTGGCCGGGCCTCAGTCTCCCCGCTCCCCCCAGGGCCTTCCTGGCAGCTGCGCTGGCGCAGGGCCTGTGCGAGGTGCTGCTGGTTGTGACCAAGGACGTGGAGGAGCGGGGCTGCTGGCTGCAGACGGGCTGACTTGGCGCCCAGGCCTCGTGTGGCGCCACGCTCCAAGTGCCAGGAGGGGGGCCTGTGCCCGGCCCAGCCCTCTCACCCTGCCCCCTCCCCTCAACCTCCCACGCCGCTGCTGCCTCAATAAATCTGCTGATTTGCTCTGGCTTGGCCGCGTCTTGACCGTCCCTCTGATGCGCCCTCCCTCCGGTGGACGGAACCCAGGACCCACCCCTATCCCGCCACCTGTTGTGGGGAGAGCAGGACAGAGGGGCATGACCTGGTGGGCATGATCTGGCGGGTTCTGGGGGCAGGGGCCGCTTCTCGATTCCGCCCCGCTGATAGTGGGCTGGAGGACATGGCCTGGCGATGTCCCGTCGCAGTCTCTGTCACAGTCCCTGTGGCTGTTGGTTACTCGGCCACGGGGACCGACTACCCTTGAGATGACTGTCCTGGTCGCAGGTGGCCCAGTGTCAGCACAAGGTCCCCATGGTGGAGGAGACCAGCGCTGACGGCACCCGGGCGGGAGCTGGAGACAGTCGCGGGAAGAGACCCCAGCCCCAGTCGCGCCAGCTCTTATGGGGTCCCATGGGGTGCTGTGGGGTCAGAGGACAGTGCAGGGGTCAGGGCATGCAGGTCACATAAAATGGATGCCTGGCTGGGCTTGGTGGTTCAGCCTGTAGTCCCAGCACTTTGGGAGGCTGAGGCGAGTGGACTGCCTGAGCCCGCAGGTTTGAGACTAGCCCAGGCAAGTTGGTGAGACCTCATCGCTACAATAAATTTTAAAAAACTAGCTGGGTGTGGTAGCGCACGCCTGTAATTCTGGCCACTCGGAAGGCTGAGGCGGAAGAACTGCCTGAGCCCAGCAGGGTCGAGGCTGCGGCGGCCGTAAGCATGCCACCACTCCAGCCTGGGCAACATGGTGAGACCACATCTCTAAAATAAATTTAAAAAAACAAATAAATAATTAGCCGGGCATGGTGGCACGCACCTGTGGTTCGAGCTACTTAGAAGGCTGAGGCAGAAGGATTGCTGGAGCCCAGCAGATGGATGCTGGGGTGGCCATAAGTGTGCCACTGCACTCCAGCCTGGCCAAGGAGTGAGACTCCAACTCAAAAATTAAAAATGGACGGCTGCAGGGGAGAGCTGGCCAGAGCCAACGTCACTCAGGTTATTTGGGGAGGGAGGAGCGATGAGGGGGTCCTGGTCTGAAACCCAACCAGCAGGACCTCCACAGGCAGCCAGGGAGGCAGGTCAGCTCTGGGCGCAGGGACGAGGCCAGGAGGCTGAGAGGAGTCCAGAGGGGAGAGGACGAGGCTTGAGTTGGGACCCTCAGGGAGATGAGGTGACAGACGAGGGCCTGCGCCCAGGGGTCCCCGGGGGTGACGGGGTGGGCAGGAATGAAGGAGGCAGACCGCCACGTGCGGGGCAGGGGCAGGGAGAGACAGCTAGGCTCTGCGGCAGTGTGCCTCCTCCCGGCAGCCTGGCAGGATCCACCCAGAGGCAGTTCGTGCCAGGACTCTGCAGCTGTACTTGGCGCCATGGAGGACACAGGACTGCCGTAAACGCCCTGGCGACCAGGGACTAGGGCAGAGCCGGCCCCACTCTGCAAGTTTTCCAAGGTCAGAGGGCAGGTTGTGAAGGGAACGCCAAGCAGCACAGGAGGGAAGAGGCGGGGATGCTGACACCCCGATTCTGGCAGCCCTGCATCCCTCTGCCACCCCCCCCACCGTGTTCCCTAGCTCTCAGCCCCCCTGGGTGCCCGGCCCCTCACTTGAGTCCCTTGTCAGTATCTGCCCCAGTCTCTCATATCTGTCTCGGTCTCTCCCTTCACCTGTCTCTGGGTGTTCCTCTCTGTGTCTCTGTGACTCTGCGTCTCTGTCTCTCCCACAGTCTCTCCCTGTCTCCCTCAGCCTCTGAGTCTGTCTCTCCTCACTCTCTGTCTCTTCTCCCTGTATCTCTCACCTTCTCTCGGCTCGGGCCCTCTGGGGCCCCCTCCCGCCCCCTGCCTGTCGCCTCCCCCTTCCTGTCCCGACAGCCTGGCGGCCCTGAGTGTTGCTATTCTTGGGCTGGAGTGGCCGGTGGGTTGTGGCTGTCCAGGTGCAGCCTCAGCTGTGGCCAAATAAGGTCCGGATGGAGAAGCCCGGGGTGGGGGGGCCGGTGGCCCTGCTGCTCTCCCCTCCCGCTCCCCGCTCCCGCTCCCTCCTCCTGCTCCCACCCCCTCCCGCAGGTGATGGCCAGGCCAGGACTCCGTACTGACTGAGCGCTTACTGTTTGCCCCTTGTAATGCAGAACAGCCATGCACCCCCAGCGCCCCCCACTTCCAGGGGAGCTCCCCAGGACTCAGAGAGCTGCCCCTTGGCCCTGGACATCCAGCCAGGCCCGTCCCAGAACGGGAGTCCCCAGCTGCCAGTGGAGGGTGCCCCACGCAGACCCTTGGGGCCTCTCAGTGCCCACCAGGCGGCAGGGGGGCGGTGGTCACATGGCAGGTGCAAAGCAGGTGCGGGGGGAGGGGACAGCTGTCCCACACCCCGCGGTGCTGACAGCTGAGGCCCGATTTAGCTTGCAGAGCCGGGTCTGGCCAGATAAGGCGGTGGGGAGGGATGGTCCCGCCCCCGGGGTGCCTCATAAATCCCGGGGCTGGGCCCAGGGAGTGGCCGCCGCCGATGCCAGGTGAGAGGGGCTGCTCCTTCCTCGACCTCCCCGCCAGCGGCTCTGCCGCGCTGCCTCTCTCTGTCTCTGTCTCTCCCTTCTCCTCTTTCCGTCTGTCTGTCTCTCCCCTCTCCCTCCAGCTCCCTCTGTCTCTTCTGTCTCTCCTCTCTCCTTTGGTCTCTGTCTCTGTCTCTCCCCTCTCACTCGGTCTCTCTCAGTCTCTCCTCTCTCCCTCCATCTCTCTCTGTCGCTGCCTCTCCTCTCTCCTCCATTTCTGTCTGTCTCTCCCCCTCTGGCCCTGTCTCTCCCCTCTCCCTCTGTCTCCCTCTGTCTCTGCCTCTTCCCTCTGTCTCTGTGGGTCTCTCCCCCCATCTCTGCCTCTGCCCTTCTGCGGTGTCTCCCCGCCGGCTCTTCCCTCGCCTTCTCACCGCTCCCTCTCCTTCTCCCCTCCCAAGTCCCGCCTCTCCCCTCACTCTCCTCTCCCTCTCTCTGTCTCTCTGGGCCTTCTCGTCTGACCTCCCATCTCCTCCCATCTCCTCCCCTCCCTCTCCGCCGTGTGGCTCTGCGTCCCTCTCCCCCTCAGCTGTCTCTCAGGCCCTCCCTGTGGACCCAGCCCCGGGTCCTTCCTGCCCATCTCGGTCTCTCCCTTCCCTTCTGTGTCTCTGTCTTTCTCGACTCAGTCTGGGTCTCCCTCTGTCTCTGCCTGTCCCTCCTCTGATGTCTCTCGGTCACTCTCCACCTCGCCTTCTCATCTCCCCCTCTCTCTGGTCTCCTTCTGCCTGTCTCTCTCATCTCTCTCCCTTTCTCATCTCTCCCTCTCAGCTCTCCGTCTCCCTCATCTCTGACTCTCTCATCTGTCTGTCTCATCTCTCCCTCCCCTGTCGCTCCTTCTCTTATCTCTCCTATCTCCCTGTCTCTCACTATCTCTCTCATCTCTCTCCCATCTCTCATCTCTCCCTATCCCTCTCTTATCTCTCATATCTCTGTCTCCCTCTCTCTCTCATCTCTCCCTGTCTCTCTCATCTGTCTCTCTCATCTGTCTCTCTCATCTCTCCCTCCCTCTGTCGCTCCTTCTCTTATCTCTCCTATCTCCCTGTCTCTCTTGTCTCTCACTATCTCTCTCATCTCTCTCCCATCTCTCATCTCTCCCTATCCCTCTCTTATCTCTCATATCTCTGTCTCCCTCTCTCTCATCTCTCCCTGTCTCTCTCATCTCTGTCTCTTTCATCTGTCTCTCTCATCTCTCCCTCTCATCTCTCCCTGTCTCTCTCATCTCTGTCTCTCATCTGTCTCTCTCATCTCTGTCTCTCTCATCTCTCCCTCCCTCTGTCTCTCCTTCTCTTATCTCTCCTATCTCCCTGTCTCTCTTGTCTCTCACTATCTCTCTCATCTCTCTCCCATCTCTCATCTCTCCCTATCCCTCTCTTATCTCTCATATCTCTGTCTCCCTCTCTCATCTCTCCCTGTCTCTCTCATCTCTCTCCCTTTCTCATCTCTCCCTTTCTCAGCTCTCCATCTCTCTCATCTCTCCCTCCCTCTGTCGCTCCTTCTCTTGTCTCTCCTATCTCCCTGTCTCTCTTGTCTCTCACTATCTCTCTCATCTCTCTCCCATCTCTCATCTCTCCCTATCTCAGCTCTCCGTCTGTCTCATCTCTGACTCTCTCATCTGTCTCTCTCATCTCTCCCTCCCTCTGTCTCTCCTTCTCTTATCTCTCCTATCTCCCTGTCTCTCTTGTCTCTCACTATCTCTCTCATCT